TCAAGCAGTTGCCCACCAGCTTTGTCTAGCTTGTGCCGGGGCCGTTGCTGCTGATCTGGGTTGAAGCACTACACCGTATATGGCTTCATGTACTGTGGGACGCAGGCGATCTAGATTTAAGTGTTGTTGCCAACCAGTTGCAGCTCGCAGCTCCTGCTGTACAGTCTGGAGTGAGCTAAAAAAGAGATCGGCCGATACGGTTGTGTGCTCTGCTCTCTTTCTCTCTCTCTCTCTCTCTCTCCCCCTAAACCTTAAACCCTCCTTAAAGTTATATACCCAAATCCCACAAATATCTCCCTCGACCCCTCTCTCACTCTCACACTCCCTCTTAGATCGGTGAAAGCTACAGGATTCGGTTGAAGTTGCCACCGAGCCGTGCCCACGCAGGCCTGGAGTCCGCAGATCCGCAGCCGCCGACGAGGAGACCGCCCTGGCTAGCACACTGTGTATCTACTGATCCAGATTCTACTGTGTCGCAGGAGGCGAAATGCCCAATTCCGATCGCTGAAAAAGAAGGTGCAGCTTAAAGGTGCATCGTCTACGGAGCCGCCAACTCTCCCGGACCTTCAGCATGGATTGCCCTATAGATTGCAAAACCTGGCTAGTGCCTCGCTTGCAAGAACTGCGGTTTCATCTTTGAAGAAGAAGGGGGCCGACGTTAACTTCATCAGTGAGCTATGTGGAGCTGCCGAAGATGAGTCCGCTGGGAGTATGCATTGGCTGACAAAAAAGCTCGCTGAGCGAAAAACTGAGCGAAGATTTCATCAATTCTTCTCACGATCGCTTCCGAAAGTCACCAAGCTGAAGCTTCCCCTTCTGCTCAACAAGAAGAAGAAGCTGGTGGCAATGAGGACGTGCAGCAAGTTTGTACGACACGAGAATTTTTTTTAATGTTGGCTCTTTCTTATCTCAATCGAAACCAGGGTCCCTGCTGATCTGACTGGAGCGAATCGAGGTGTGGTTTTGCCGAGCTCATATATGGCTTGGCTGGCTAAGAGGCCATGGATCCTGGAGCAGGTTTGCTTCGGGGCTTCGACGCCTGATGAGAGAGAACTGCTTCTAGGATCCCATATGAACAATCCTAGCTTAACTTTTTCACGCTTTAAAACCCTTTATCCTAGAAGAAACCATACATGTACATCTTAGGCTCAGCTCTACTTTGCAGAATGCTGGCATTGGCTACTTGGGAGGCAGAAGCTTAATCGAACCCTATACCTAGACCCTAAGGCCTCAAAGCCCCCGAAATTCTCACGCACAGGCCCTGGCGACCTTCCGGTTCGCATCCATGGTGACGAGGGTCCTGGTTTGAAGTTCAAGAATGTGCTGGTTATCAATATGTCGTTTCCATATCCTCATTCGGGCGACTCCTGTCTGCATTATGGATGCAACACATGCATATGCGATGTCACAGCTGGTCTGAGTGATATAAGTTTTTGGGTGACCTCATGTACAGCCGAGGATACCTTGAAGACACGCCTTTGCATCGCATGCTTGACAGGGCAAACAGTCCTCACCAGGGCCATGCAGAGGAACAAGAAAATCGGGAGGACCTTTCCATCCACCTTGGATGCTCTTATGACATACATCAAGAAGGACCTCGACGAGCTGCCCCTAAGCTTCGAAAGCCTGTTCTGCTGCACTACATGATAGGATGACGATAGTCTTTTGGATTGGCCTCGGCCGATGCCGAGGACCTTTACATATGATGGAGTCCCTGGCCGAAAGCTCTGCTTCTTTGGCTTGGCTGGCGATCAGAAGTGGCTACAGCAAGTGCTGCACTTGTCAGCTGCCCGCAAACAGTGAGCTGAATCTCGGTTCTTGTGTTTTGCATTCAACAACTAAGTCCGCGACGCTGGAAAGGAAATGGCGAAGACCAGGGCAACAGGACCGCATATCCTAGATCCTATGTAGCTAGCTAGTCTATGCCGCTTGGCGAGTTGCCCTTGTTCTGCTGCTTGCTTCTGTTCCAGGATGTGTATGCAATGCCGGTGACCTGGCGACCATCATGTCTTTTAATCCGAACATCACTTGAGCTGCAACTCAGGTTTGCTTCGACGGTGGATCCAATGGATGGGCAAACTACTTTATCTCTGGGATCGGCCCACTACACGAACTTCTTTGGTGATGCTCCGTGGGAGCTTTGTGGCCGTGAAAGCCACGAAGATCTCAGATCAAATAGGAATACTAGAGGTTTTGTAGTTCTCGGGTTGTTTAGGGTTCTCGCCTAGATGCTAAAACCTCGCAAGCCCTATGACCCTCTAAGCCCTAAGACCCGAAACATTAGACACTCCATCGATAGACATGTATGAGAAGTGAGGACTTCTTGGCCGAGCTCATGAAAGCTCATGGGGAGCTGCCAGCAATCTGCGAATTCGGCGGCTTTCATAACATGCTCATCCACTACGACACATTACATGTGTGCTACAGAGGATTCGGGCCAGACCTGGTTGCATCTGCTCTCTTGGACTTCTTCCCGAAATCTCGGGGAGGTTTGACAACGGCCCACGATTTGGCTTCTTCCTGGGCAAAGGCTTGCAACCTGGAGCTTTCTTGTGACGAGTTCGTCATCAGTGCCGAGGAAAAATATGCTTATCTCAATTGCAAAGGTGCCGATACCAAAATTTTACTTTTGTGGCTCGTTCCTGGGACCTTTAAAGATTTCAGGGCCGGCTTTTTTTCTTTGGTCTAGTGCCTGGTTTATTTCAGGATTAAGTATATTTGGGTCCAGCTGATCGAGGCTGAAATCGCCCCCGCTGCAACTCGTGACTGGAATAACCAGAAAGCTCGGGTGCTGAAGATGCTGCTTGCCTCAATTAATTATAATTATAACTACCCTTAACCCTAAATACTTCATGTCCCGTAGTTTCAAGCTAGCTTACTTCCTGGTGCACATAAATTTAAGTTGTATATCCGATATCCTAGGACTTTGAAGTCTTTGGCACTCTTGATCTTGCTTATGGAGCAGTACAAGTATGTCGTGGCCGGGGATGCATTGCCGACAGCGAAAAAACGAGTTCGCTACTTTCTGCTGGGATACCTGTGGCTCAGCAATGATGCCTTCTGCAATCGCAAGAGGCGATACAAGCTTAGGCCGAAGCAACTTGCTGGCACATATTGTTTTGTTGCTAACTATTATTTTTATATAGCACATTCGGGATGCTCAGGGCTCACGGTCTAATCGACCTAGGCTCCACACGTGGTGGCATATGTTTGCCGATCTGGAGCTGCTTCCTCTGAACCCTCGCATAAACTCCTGCTTCGGTGATGAAGACTTCGTGCGGCGACTCTGCTCGATTGCCTCTTGGCTATATCATAAATGGGATGCAGCATCATAAGCATCGAGTGTTGCTATCTGGCATCGATCCGAGGCTTCTGGATGCCATGCAAGTGCTGTGCATGTACAGGCTGTGAGGCGGTACTTAGCAGCTTCGGTGCCTCACTGGTTCACGGAGTTCGGGCGGGAGCGAGGTGAAAACGATTTTTGGTTAAGGGGGCCTTCCGAGTGATCCTGTCAAGCCCTCACCCCACAAATCCTAAACCCCCGCCAAGACCTTACAGACCTTAAGACCTCAACCCTAAGGCTCAAACCGGCTCAAGCAAGGCTCAAACCGGCTCAAGCTCAGATTTGCTGCTATCGCAGCAGGCATTCTGCGACATCTGTCACAAGGATCTATGTTTTAATAAGAGATCTGAGGCTCCGAACCAGTTTGTTTGGTAGGTTTTGTATAAAGATACCATTTTTTGCAGCTTCAATCAAGAGATAAAAAAAACCAAAATGCCAAAAATGTGTCTTTCTCTTTTTTCGCACCCCTTCTCGTTTTTTTTTGTGTCTGTGACCTCTCCGGGATTGCTTTGCTTTGAGTTTTCAAAGCTTGAAGGGCACGTGATCCGACTGCTTTC